CGGAAAGACTTTCTCCGGCCTTCCTTCTGCGGCAAAGGATGTGCCGCGTCGTACTGCTCAACCAGACCCAGTACGTCAATCATCAGTTGGGAGCGGGGCTCCCAAGTATGCCAGGACGGGGGATAACTGCGCCACCGGACGAGGTAACTCGTCCGACGTCCGTTCACATCGCGGTGGTTCAACAGCTGCTCAACCAGATAGCGCTTGCCACCGCGAGATCCCTACAATGGAGGTGGAGGAGGAGGAAAGACGCTCTCCAAAATATCGTGTGGGAGCGTGAGACCCCGAGAGCCTCTTTGATCGCTTAACTCTTGCGTTGCGCGGCGACCTCGAGCATGAGCGGGACAGGCGTCTCTAACTGGCGTAAACTGTCTTTAAGCATCGAGCTGAGTTTGCCTTTGCTCAACTTGAGAACGAGAGAGCTTTGACATATCTGCGTGACGAGCTAAGGGTAGCTCGTGTGGATATTGACCGGTCTCGGGCTGAGATAACTGCTCTTCAGACCCTTGTTGATATCCACCACCGGGAGTACAAGGCTCTCTGTGAGATGCTTGAGCGCAAGGGCGTTCTTCATCGGAAGAAGCAGCGTGCTGATGGTACGGCTTAAGCCGACCAACGTAAAACTTGGGATGCGTTCGCTTCTTACGTGGCAGTTCGATCGTGTATGCATTGCCTAGGCGATGCAATACACGAAATGGGCCGATGTACTTGGGTAGAAGTTTACTACTACCCAAGTTAGTCACTACATGCTTTGGTAGTTTATCCGTAGATAGTAGGACTAAGTCACCTTTATTAATAAGTCACCTTTACTAAATTCAATTGTGTGTTTGCCCTTCCATTCTTGTCTACGTTTTGCTATTGCTTATCCACCGCTTCGGCGATAGAGTCTTGCACAAAAACGGACTACCGTTTCACGAGCCAGTCTGAACTCATCTGCTGACTCGTTAGCTTCAGTGCGCTGTGAGTGCACTGCAGCGACATCAAACTTCTCTTCAGTGAGGGCTTCCTCGCTCTCACTGGCATCGTCTTCTTCGATATCGATGTTGTCGATATCGGCATCAAATGCAATGACATCTTCTTCAGAGCGTGATGAGCGTGAACCAAATCTTTTTTTGCTCGCGCGAGTCTCTTACCCCCCTTAAACCAGAGTTACACTCTAGTAAGGTGGGTACACGCGGATGGCGCAAGCCTTTCACGTAAAACGGTGTATGTGTCGTGGACGCATGCACCGAGTTGTTAATGGCAAACTCTACCATTGGCAAAAACTCACTCCAACTCTTAAAGGAGTGTACGTATCCTCGAAGTGTCTCTTCAAGGACACGATTGGCACGTTCCGTCTGACCATCTGACTCTGGATGATCAGATGTAGACATCTTCAAGCGCGTTCCGAGTGATTTGAACACGGAACACCAGAAATCAGCTTTGAATCGTGGATCTCTGTCTGATACGAGTTCACGGGGCAACCCATGAAGTCGGAAGATGGTGTCAATAAAGACACAAGCACATCCACTTGCCGTGATTGACTCTGGTACAGCCACTAGGTGTACCATTTTGCTGAATCTGTCAACAAATACGAGAATACCTGTATTCCCGCGTGCGTCTTTGGGTAACCCGAACACGAAATCCATTGAGATGGATTCCCAGCACTCAGCCGGAACCGGTAGAGGCTGTAAAGGTGCACGCATTGAAGGACTTGACTTCACTCGTTGACAGACTTCGCATGCGCGAACATACTTTCGCACATACTGATACTGGCGAGGCCAGTAAAAGTCTCGACTCACCGTGAGATACGTTTTCTCCCGGCCACGATGTCCTCCTATAGGAGCATCGTGATACTCGAACATGATCGCAAACGCAGATCAGTATCATCTGGGATGACAACACGTATTGTGTCCCCAGTAACGGCTGTATAATACAGTAAACCGTTACGAGTAGTGTATCGATCTGATGCAGATCGATACGCAGACGACAATTGTTTCACCGATTCTCGAGATGTTTGTGAGAGATGTGTCAACAACTTCACAATCTCACCATCTTGGGCGTATGCCCGCCTCACATCATCATACAACGTTGTAGACGGGACTGAGGACGTCATAACCGCAACAGTGACTGTCTCACTGTTGGGTTTCGCGACTGTTTCAAAGTCGGGACGACGTGAGAGTGCATCAGCGACGACATTAAGTCATCCTGGTTTGTACTCGACCGTAAAGTTGTATTCTGCAAAGAATGACAACCACTGCGCCATTCGGTGTGAAAGGTGTGGGCTGTTTATTGCCGTGCGTAATGACGCATGGTCAGTGTAAACAATGAAGGGTCTATCTCCTAATAGATAGACTCTGAACTTCGCGAGTGCATACTTCATGGCAAGGAGTTCCTTGTCATAAACTGGATAGTTTCGCTCAGCTGGTTGCATCTGACGCGACTGATAGCAGACGACGCGTTCAACGCCTTCAAGATCGTACTGCATTAATGCACAGCCGATTGCGAAATCGCTGGCATCACAGACCACCTGAAATGGCCTGTCCTGATAGGCTATTGCTAGGACTGGGGATTGTATCAAGCTCTGCTTGATACCATCAAAGGAGCGCTGACATTCAGCATTCCATAACCACCTCTCGTTCTTTTTCAACAGACGAGAGAGGTGTACAGTCATCTCGGCGTAATTGCGTGAATACTTATGCAAATACGCCGCTAGCCCAAGGAATTTTCGAAGACCTTTGACATCAACCGGTACAGGCCAGTCGGTGATCGCCTTGATCTTTTCGGGATCAGGACGTACACCGTTTTTACCAACGATGCACCCAAGAAGTGGTCTTTCGCTTGCTGCAAATAAACACTTCTCGATGTTTGCATACAATTGATGCTTTCGCAGGATTGTAAGAACCTGTCGGACGTGGTATCTGTGAACCTCAACGTCCGACTTTCCATCCATAGCCAGACTATGGATGAATACGTCATCGAAATAACTCGGTGCGAATTCTCGTACTGGTCTCAACAGATGTGATACACATCTGTTGAACGTGGCAGGGGCATTACTAAGCCCTTGTGGCATTACTAGCCATTCCCAGAGCATGCCGCTAGGCGTGCTCACTGCGGTATAGGGTATATCCTGTTCTCGCATAAGGATTTGATAGAAGCCATCCATCAAATCCATGGACGAAAAGATGGTACTCTTTGACATACCATCAATGATTACGTCCTTCCTTGGTTTTGGCGTCTGAGCCGGTACCGTTGCAGCGTTCAATTTGTTGAACGCATGCACAATCCGCCACCCTCCTGTTGCTTTTCGCACACAGAAGGTCGGAGAGCTATGTGGGGAGTTGTTTCTCTCACATGACCCGCAGCTAAACGATCGGCAAAGAACTTGTCGATCGCAAGTACTTGTTCACGAGGCAGTGGCCACTGCTTCATGACACAGTACTTCGAGCCTGGTTAAAACTCGAATTCGTGTCGAATACCTTTATCCTTCGGTAATTCGCACGGAACAGTTTCAGGGAATTCATCCTTGAATTCAACTAAATTTTCATAGAGAGGATTTGTCTTGAGCGATTCCCACGATTGGGAGTCATATCGCTCAACTCGTGTCTTTTCATCGAGGACACTCTCGTCCATCGATGAACTACTGAGAACTCTCTCGTTCTCAGTGAACATTGTTGCTGACCTTATGTCGGCTACACACTCGTCGTCAGCGACGAGTACGCAGATCTGCTTGACTTTGTCACTACGCAGATCACGCAAGAACTTTTTATGTTCGAGCGTTGGCAACTGAGTGATCTCCGAAGTCAACTTCGGAGGCGCAATCAGATCAAGTGAATAAGAGCCTACACTTGATTCGTTATTGACAATGACCTTCAATGTCTCTGTCATTTCCTGGGGACTTATTCCTTCAGGCCTCGAAGGACTTATTCCTTTGGCTTCCCGGGGACTTATTCCCGCGGGTTTCGGGGAACTCATTTCCGCCGTATTTGTAATCTTGGGACTTATTCCCTTGACTTCCTCTAGCTGTGGTTGCGCAACCGCAGCGAGATCCTCTACGAAAGACTCTCCAGTCGATCTAGGATTATAGTTTCGCTTAACCTGAGCGATCGATTGTTTCTCTTCTAGATGTTCCCCGCTAGGGATACATCTTTGTCCCGGTCCACTCGACTTATTCGAGTGGTGGACCTTCGGCGCAGCCTGTGTTTCCTCACAGCCGCCGGAAGCTTGCTCCGAAGTGTAACTGTTTGTTACACTAAGGTTTTGTGCAGTTGTACTAACGACCGTACCACAAGTGAGGCCATCGCACTCACTCGTAGTACATCCACTCGCTTGTGGACGCTCCAAAACGTTCATCAATTGGCCATCTGATGAACAAGCGGCAGGCATCGTTACTGTCCGATGTTGCCAGTTTACCCGTGGTTCGTACCTTCTGAGCCACTGTATTCCAAGGATGACATCAAATTTGTCATCCAAATCCTATACGACAAAGTCATCGTCATATTGGGTATCTTCTATCGTATAGTGGATCTTCGCTATACGCTTCATGATGGTTACGGATGCGCCTGTCGCAAGACGTACCGTCATCCTCGTAGGAGGTGTGTCACATTCACTGAACTTAAAATGACCATCTTCTAGCGATTGGCGTCGCACAAAATTGTTGGACGCCCCACAATCGACTAGAGCTCGAAGGGACAACTTATTCGTCACTTCGAGTTTCAAGGTAATGAGTGAGATCTCATTACCCAGAGCAGCAACACACAACGTTTGTGTGTTGGGAGCAACCTTCATCAAGAGGCCCACAAATTCTCTTGACGTTGCTGGACCAGTAGGTTGCTCCGCACCTACTAATCCTGCCCGTTTTTTGACGGTCCATCCCGTTGTTGCGTCTTTGCACCAACGGCGGACCCGCGTCCCTTCCCCTTTCTCATGGGTGGACGGTCACTACGCCCAGTGTTGCGAGACACTGGACGAGGGGCACTACACTCGTAAGCGTAGTGTCCTGTATTTTGACATCTGTTGCATTACTGCAACTTCTTGTAGTCTGTAGAGCGAGCCTTCTCGCTCTCTACATAACAGAGTTCCATCGGCTCTGGACCTCCGCTGTCATATCGTCTCGGTTGACGATACGATGTCGAGATGGCGCGAGCCTGCCTCAGACTGAAGTCTTCCTGTTCCGCAATGGAAATGGCTCGTTCTAGTGAATCTAGTTCAAGTCGGAACAGGTGAGTCTTGACGGGACCACCCGCAAGACCCTGCATGAACACCGAAACCAACGTGTGTTCATCAACCGGGTTGGAACTTCTACAACTCGTGAGATGTCGTATATGTTGGGCGTAAGCGTGCACATCACGCTTACCCTGTTTGAGCTTCAAGAGTTCGGTTCGAGCTCTGAACTCAGCTCTAGGCGGCTCAAACGTTTGTCTGAGCCGCGACTTGAAGACTTCTAACGACCCAACGCATATGGGTCGTGCAACTCGAGTCCCAAAGCCCAAGTCTTGGCACGTCCTGCCAGATTTGACTGGGCAAATGCAACTTGCATATCCCCGTCGTCGATGCGACGCGCCCTTATGGCGTCATCTAATTCGACGAACCATCTTAAGAGGGAGTCCTCTTCGACTTCCCTATACTTGGAGATGTCAATATTCAAGGTTTCGGGTCGACGCGAGTGCATCGACCCACCAGCAGCAGCCTGATGCTGTCTCAACAGTTCAAACTGTTGAGCACCCTGTTCTCTCAACAACTCTGCTTGTTGAGAACCTTGTTGGTGAAGCAAGGCTACTTTCTCGCGTTTTGCGTCAAATTCATTTTGAATGAACTTGGCGATAGTAGCATGTTGGGCATCTCTATTAAGAGCCTCTAGCATGACGCTAACAGCATGGATGCCCATGGTTGTACCCATTCGTTCAACCGCATCCCATTCGACATCGCTCGAATGGGAGTAGCCGTCACGCGTAGCGTGAAAGCTTTGGTCATCTTCATCATCCAACATATTCATGTTGGATGTGAACGCGGTCCTTGGACGGACTACGAAGTGCTACCAGGTGTAACGGGGCACCCTCAAGCTTGTACTGGTGACAGTACAAGCTACTTATTCTGATGACACAACAAGGCGGTGCCTCGTAACTTCACGTACACTGGTACGTGCAGAGGAAGACGGTAAGAAGAAGCGAGTACTTGGTTCTAGTAAAAAGTAGAGCTGTATTTATAAAGTTAATATCTGTTAATAAATCACTGTTTATCTTCATCTAACTATGTCTAAATACAAATGTGTAAACCAAATATCTGCTCACCACTCATTGCGTGCGTCTGTCGTGGCGCGTCTTCGTTGGTTGATATAATGGCCTATATCAACCAATTAGGAACTACTCGTAAGTGCTACAGGATATTTGTCCTTATGACAATATTCTGAGAATATAACTCTTATAGTTATATTCTATTAACAATTTCTGACAAATTGTTATGTAACGATTCACCCCGTTGCAGCATCCTCCGAGATAAAGCTCTTGTTATTCTCGTGCTTGTGATAATTACACCCTACAGATCATCTATCAAGCTCACTTATCGTTTAGCTCATTATCCACGGGCAAATATACTGTTAAGCACACATATGTGCACAAGTTCATAATTGCCTCGAGGGAAGCGACAATCATGCATCAATGTAGTATTTGCACTCATCCACCCAAACTTATTATTACTTCAAACGCCGCACAACTTTATAAATAGGCGGGGAGATCCAGGTGATGCCCTGCGCTAGTGGTCCGTCATTGTCTTGATTATCTAGCACACAATAATAAGAGCAAAATTATGAAAATAGCACGAGCGCGCATCGAACATGTGTGTAAATATAGTAGACCTTACCTAAAATGAGCGACCACATGCTTTGTGGAGATTGGTAGCCCTCTGATGACGATACGTGTCCGTTCGGGGCATCGTGGCTGTCAGGGCGAACGGCACTCTTTGCTTATAGTGTGATGCATAGAGTATTTGTAGACAAAAAAAATAAATGATGCATATAAAAGTATCCAGACCTGAATTAGATATCTCATCTTCTTATAAAGAGGAATGATCAGCCAAAAAGTTGCAAATGTCCCCATCTCTCTCTCCCCTTGCCTGCTTGTCCCCTTTGTTACTAAAGAGGACGAAAAATGATAACATAAACTGGTCACGTCTCAACGGACTGTTTTAGACTTCAGAAGGACTGTGTTACGATTCGTGGCCTTTTTAATTTACAGAATCGTATTTTTATTTGCATCTCCAAAAAAGTCGATTGTTGTTTCATCGTATCTCTCATTGTGTCATACACTGTATGACACAATGCGAGATACGATGGCACAAATGTCACACTTACTGCTTTTCGGCCATCTGACGTTCTGACAAACGAGGTCAACAGACATTATCGACTTTTACGTTTATTTCCACGATTCAAGCGTAAAGAAGTTTAGTATCACAATTAGTTGTATACAAACAGACTGCAAGTTTATTGAAGCGGTGATCTTAAGTTGTCAACACCAACAAGATCCCTAGCATCTACTCCAGGACAGGTGATGGCAAACCAAAAGTGTGGAAAATCGACAACGGTGCACACCACTTTTGTCTGTCGACTTAATCCGTTCGCGAGACATGCAAAAGGGAAGTTGACGGTCGGGTTTCGGCTACTGTTCGGTTGTAGCTCACATATCATTTGGTGTGTGAAATCACGAGTAAGCAAGTGTTCAACAACATTTGTATGTGTGTCCATGAGAACATCAGGAAAAGCGGGTACAGCTCGACCGAAAGCAGAGCAGCGCTTGATTTTTTCACATTGGCTCTCGTTCACAATGCAGTAGGATCGACACCTTAATCAGGCTCGAACGTTACTATACGACGGCTACGCATAAGCAAGTGCAGTCAAATCGAAACGGCTCCAGTCGACACATTCGCACGCACTTCAATCTCGAGCGTCGTCAACAAACGTGATTGACTGGGTCGTGTCCTTGTACTTTGCCTTCGCTCCTCCATTCACAGCAAGATGGTAGCCCCTTGAGCCCCCTCCAGCTTGTCCAGAGACCGCTTGGCGACCAGTGGTATAATACAAGAAGACGCATGCTGCGAGAAACACGAGAAGACTCATATTCCAGCCGAGAGGGAGCCCCGCGCTGAGCTGCTCCGCCAGCAGTTCCGACTCGAGAGAAAATGTTACTTTGCGTTGAAGCGCCTCGAGATATAAAAAGGTACCTGTAAGCCATGCCACCGATTCGGACGAGCTGCTGAGATCTTTATCCGCCGCCACTCCGTGTCCTGATAACATGGGTTGCCTTTGAAACTTGTCCACAAAGTGTATGCGCTCATCATTTTCCTGGACACCAATCTGCTCTAGCAGCACCACTGTGTAGCACAGGTCGAAGCACAACGCACTAGGTGGTTCGACCATTCTTTCCATGTCAGAAGCTAGCGATGCTGCCTCCAGCTCAGGCAAGTGTGAGGGTACCAGACCGATTGATACATCTTGATATGATAGCGCACACAGCGTCTTGGCAGCGTTTCGAAGCGCCAGGAGCGATGGAGACGGTAAAAGCAGCGGCCTCACCGTATCCTCCTCCTGTGCATTGCTCACGTTCTCCAACACGCGACTTGCACTAAGCACTGCTCGCTGTAGCACACCCGAAGCGTAAAAAGATCCAAACTTTTGAGGTTGAGGTTCACCTCCTGTAAAACAAAAGCTCTCAGGCGGACAGTCCACATTGCTCGCAGCAATATGCGACCGGAGCAAAGTCATGCACTTCTCGGCATCCCCTGTGCCGTTCAAAGTCACGTTCACACCTTCAACAACCGACGAGTGACCTCGCAAGAAGCACGGATGCTGCAGGGTGTCCTCGTCAGCGTGGCTGTTCTTCCTTTGTTTTAACTTGACCACCGCCTGCTGGACTTGCTGACGTCCAAACCCGACGTACTCGCGACCGTAAAAGTCACTAGCATTGAGCACGACGTTTGCCTGGCGCTGCCGTTTGGTGCGTCGCCATCGCTCCCGCACATCAAACACCATCGCAACAGCATCCGCGTCCGACTCGAATCGAGTCCGTCCAATATCTCCCCCTGTGTCCACGTGCAAGAGCCCGTACACTTCAACTTGACCAGGACTGAGCGATGGCGCCACGCGCTCAGCAAAGTAGTTGATCCCAACCACGTGGAAATAGAGACGCCAGGCGGCGGTCACGATGCCACTGGACGGGACGCTGTCCTGATCCTCTTGACGAGCGGCGTCTAAAGCAAAAGGGAACGCGTGGTCGTGCCCCGCTAGCTCTTGAAGGTGCTGGAGACGCCTCGTCACACGTAACGCTGCTGTCGTCGCGTCGTCGGGTGCTGGCAAACCAGCTGGGATTTCGGATTCGGCCAAAAGAAAGTGCACGAAACACCGACGTGGGTCGCCACGGACTTTCAGCCACTCAGCAGCAAGGTTTATGGCCGGGCGCAAGATCTGATATGCCTCAAAAGTGGCCTTTTTCTTGTCCTCCGGGGTGCGCGAACTGTGCTCGAAAATTCCTTGTACGATCGACGACACGGCGGGCACGTGGTCGTACATATGGATCGCGTCCTGTTCGTAGGCGTTCTGTAGAACAAGCACGCGCGTGTGCGTTCTTGCTGCCACGATAAACACGCGACAGTGCGCACGTGCTGGCGGCGGCATGAGCCCAGTCGGATTCGCCCGTCTATCTGCCGTCATAGCGTCGACTCTGACCGTCAAAAGTCGCAGAAGTAGCAGCAGCAGTCGTACAAACGCCGTCATCCCTAATTTTGTTCGAATGAGACGGTCTGTCTCTTGCGATTGGTGCAAAAAAAGACACACCCGACCTGATTTCAACCAGTGGGCCACGTCGTCCTATTCGAGGTGCACTTGGTGTGGCACCACCTCCCCCAACACCCTCAATCAACGACGCTTGACGCGAGACATGGCCGAGTCGTCCGGGCCGCGCTTCCTCCTGCGTGTGTGCGTGTTCCTCTTGCTCCTCATCGCCACTCTCCTACAGCTCGTCTTCTTTGCCCGCTTGCCACAGATCCGGATGCACGTGGCTTACTGCAACGCCACGCTCGAGTCGCACGCGCTGCTGGCGCCGCCGTCGACGAGTGTGGAGCTCACGGCGCCAATGAAATTGCTGTTCCAGTCGCTGTTTGTGTCCCCTCGAGAGCTTGCAGTACAGCAAAAAGAAGAGGAAAAGAGACGGAATCAGCACGCGACGGAAGCAGAGCTCAGGCAGACGGGGCGAGGCCAGGAGGAGGCTCGTCAAGGCGTGGGCGAGCCGTTTCAAGGTGAGAGATTGGACGAGACGGAGGCAAAGAGGAAGCAGCAATTGGACAGTCAAATGGAAGCACGAGAGAGTGAGGAATTGATGAAGCTGCGCTCGGGCTTTTTTAGGCAGACGCAAGGACAGGGACATGAAGCCATTGGCTCGAAGGCTGCGTATTGCATTAATGTGGTCACGCCGAGTGACTCGCCAGGAGTGTTGCTGGACTTTGAGCTGTATTTGAATGCTCTGCCGTCTTCTCGGCCAGTGTATGCGTATCGAGGCAATGGGGTACAAGAGAACGAGCGGTTTAGTAACGGCAGACGTGAGCAACTGGACATGCCCATGTCTGTAATTGACATTTACTTGGAACGACATCCTGTGGACAAGAAGTACTATGCGAAATTTCACGCGTCTAAGGGAAAGCCAATTTGGTTGATGCAAAACATCGAGTTTTTCGATCGACATGAGCTTGAGAACCCTACAGTCGGCGTAATGATTGTCAAGAACCGCATCGGGCTGAAGAAAGTACTCGAGTACAGGTACCGACATCAGCTTTCATACTCGGTGTTTTACACCAAGCACACAAGTCGCGACTTGTACCTGCCTGCCATACAGCGCGATTGGACGTCGTTTCTCCACCTCGCAGGCTGGAGTCCGTTTAAAAACACGCGAGTGATTCTCGAGGCGTGGGCATTGCATCCTGAATGGCCGCAACTCATCCTTCGTGTCATTAAAGCAGATTTATGCGTGTGGATTGAGGACCGATTCGGCGGCAAAGACTCGTGGCGACTCCAAAACGTGGACTACGCTTGTGGTTCACTACCTGCTGAAGAAAAAGACCAGTTGCAAAATCGGATTGGACTTCACTTGTGTCCGAGCGAGACAGAGGGGTTTGGCCACTACATTAATGAGGCTCGTAGTGTCGGCGCTCTTATTCTGACAACAAACGTACCACCGATGAATGAGCTCGTGGACGAAAAGAACGGCGTGCTCGTAGGAGAGCCACATGCTTGGTGGTGGCAGACGAAAGGAGACTTATTTATGCCGCTGGCAAAAGTGGAGATAGCCGATATAGAGCGAGGTGTCGAGCAGATTATGCTACTTTCTATGGAGGAGCGCCAACGTATGGGCAGGCGCTCGCGCGCAAAGTTCCTCGAGGACCGTGCGTACTTCCTAAACGCTATGACCGCATTAGAAGAGAGTTTCTGTCAGGACGAGATTCGGATCGAGAAGCTACAGCCGTTTATATACTAGTGACTTTCGCCTGAAAAAAAGAAGATGACAACGACGCTTCCGAGCTCAAAAGATAGAGATGCAGCACCGTGACCAGCCTTGTTTGTACCTAAATGGCCCACAGGTATTCCCTCGCGCAATTGACATAATTGTGCTTTCTTGCTTAGCAGAGACATTATAAACACGATATAGCTTCGTTGTGGCAAAAGCACGAGTTGGTCACACTTCAAACGGCTCCACATCAAGATGATGATCACTGTTTACCACACATAAGCTGTTGCTGCTACTCGTTCGCGCTGTGCTTTTGGCACCAGCGTCTTGAGTTCATACATTTTTGGATCAGCTATCAACCCACGCCTTGATAGCTACCTCCACGACTACTTTCGGTCTCACTCCATTGATCACGCCTCAAACCCCTCCAGCTGCCTTCATTTCCTGTCGGAGCTGAAACCGTGCGCGTAGAACACCTCGAAAGAGGTCGACAACAGCCTTCGAGAGAGCCACAGCCACCATCGGGTTTGCCGTCTCGAGTCGGACGAGATTTGGTGCAATGACAATAGCAAGTTGGTCCACGCCCATGTGGTTGTGTGGTTGGTACTCGGCGACAAAAGACAGGAGGTCAGCGAGCCAGAGCACAATGCAGCGTTCGAGGTTCCCCAAAACACTGAGCAGTTCCTCGTAGACATTTCCAGTAGACGCGAGCCGTTCCATGTCCCTCGACGGGATTTCATGCAAAATTGGGACCGGGAGTTCCCGAAACCAGAGCTTGATCAAATCCGCGACGACCCTGACGTCATGAGTTGCGCCTCGAAAAGCTCCGCAGTTGATATCGACCATAGCTTGATCCCGTTCGGCCTTACTCGGTGACTCTCGAAATATATGAGGTGTGAGGTAGCCTTCTTTGGCAACAAAGTGCTGTTGCAGCATGACCAAGACAGCAGGAATGCGGTCGTCATACCCCGGGACAGCGACCCGTGGCACTTGTCGAAAGGGCAGTTTAAAGTGCTGGTTGAGGATCCGCACGGGGTCTGCACGGTTTTCAGCCTCGTGTGGACCAGTACTGCTACTGCTACTGCTACTATTACTACTACCACTCATCATGCTGGACAAGCTAAAACTCCCGGAAGGAGCTGAACTCGTGCGGGATCGCCGCTGTTTCGCCAAGTACGTGCTTCTGAAATCAAGAGCTACCGAGGCGTCTAAGGCCGAGATGGTTTCTGCCCGACTTCGCTCGGACGTTTTGCGCATGAAAAAGTCGGCAAAGTTGTCGGGAATGCCCTCGAAACGAGCTTCTTGGAAGTTGTAGTGAATGTGCATGTCGTGTTTGAACCCAAATGGGGACCCGATCTCCAAGAACGGACTCAAGTCTTGCTCGCCTTGAGCTTGAGCACCACTTGAAGGCGACGATGGCGAGCCGCTATCGCTCTTGAGTGAAGAATGCGCAGGCAGTTGGATGTTAAGCATCGCGTGTTGTAGCGAGTCAACTAAACGCGTCGACTTGGATTGTGACGAACCAACCACGAGCAACAGATCGAGTCAAGAGGCGCAAGAGATCTTCTGGTCACGATGGAAACCTGATACGATGTCGGGACCACAGTCGCTCGGGACGTGAAAAGACGCACGTGGTAGCTCAGTGGGTTGCAACAGCGAAGGTAAAGCGGGCAAGTCAATATGGAGATTTCTATGGACACTTGAAGCAAGTGCTCGAACGAAAGAGACTGATGCACGACGTTGCGAGAAGTTTATTTGACAGCGCAAGGAAGAACGTGGTATCGATCGATCTCGGGTAGGCGTCACGCTGCGTTTTCTATGAGGCAAACGGATACAATCGAAACATAGTGTAGGGCCGTTTCGTAACGACTACCATGACACAACAGCGCTATTCTTCTTGTCTTCGGAAAACGTTGGCAGGATCACCGGCCGCCACACTGGCAACTGATTTGTTCGAGCAACAAAGCTTGAATGCCATACTACCGTCTTCAATCGCGTCTGCGTCTGTTCAGCAATTGCACACGATGGCAACTTCGTCATTTCTGAGCTTGGCCATGCAGGTAGCACGTGCTTTTCCAAGCAGCTCTAATAAATGCTACGTCAGAGAGTATCCATCAGAACGATCGTGAACAAGCGCGTGCGTGGAGTCAGAGTTTAGGCTATCCACTGAATTCGGAAGGTCCGATAACCAAGGTAACTGTTCTCCAGCTTGAAGTGATCTCGCGTGCGTCTTCTGATTGGTCAAACCTCTTCAACGTCGTCAAAACCGTTACAGACAGTCGCCTCGCTGACCAGCTTAGACCCACTGGTCGCCTTGAACGTTGCTATTCTCAATGATCTGTTGTCCTTTAGGATTCCGTTGCTAGCATTCGTAACAACTTTGTGACGCTTTCGCATCAAGCTTAGATTCTCTGCGTTTCTACATGCACCCAGAATCAATCACAAATCCACTTCAAGTCAGGAGAATTTGGTACTCACAGCACAGTCTTTAATCACATTTTTATCGGTTGCGCATGGACTCCGAGATGCTAGGGTTGAATGTAAAGTCAGCAAATGTGGCGTTGAGCACCATGGACTGATGCGTACACACGCTGTCCACGACCGGCTCGGATGTGAACTCTGCATCAAAATTGCCCACGTCCATCTCATCATGCACCACTGGATGCCAGGGCGGTGTCACTTTCCGTCGCATTAGTCCATCCCAGGAAATTCCAGCGAAAAACGCGTGATCGCGCAGCTCTTGAGCCCCACGCGATCCAAGGCGTTCCGTTGGATTGAACGTAAGCAGCCCACAAATTATCGATGCAGCTTCAAGAGGCATCTCAGGCGGCATCATCGTACTAACTAAGCCAGGTGTCATGATTTTCTTTACCATGATCTCCCGATTATCATCAAAAAACGGATGAATGCCCGTCAGCATTTCGTAGAGGAACACGCCAAGCGACCACCAGTCCACGGCGAATCCGTATTTCTGCATATTGTACACCTCAGGTGCCAGATACTCGGGGCTCCCTACAAGCGTCTGCGCTCCCTTGTCCGAAACCACATTGAGCTTGGACAGTCCAAAATCTGTGATGCGAAGATGCCCAGAGGCTTCCACCAGAATGTTCTCGGGTTTCAAATCACGATACGCTACCGTAAGCCGATGGAGATGCTCCAGCCCAAGTACCAACTCGGCGGCGTAAAATCGACACAGCTCATACGAGAAGCCTTCATCGGACATATGGTGGAAGAGTTCTCCACCAGAGCAATAATCAGTCACGAGATACAGCTTATCTTTGGTCTGGAACGAAAAACGCAACCGTGCAATGAAGGGATGGTCAATCTCTTCGAGTATCAAACGTTCAGTCTTGATGTGTTCTTCCAAGCCGTGGCGAACCACGTTTTTCTTGCGCAGCACCTTCATAGCATACACAACACTTGTATCTTTCTTGCGAACAAGAAACACCTTTCCAATCGACCCTTTCCCGATGACCTTGATCAAGTCAAAGTCACTTACAGATACGCCATGAGGGTGGTGGCTAACATTGCTACCGCGACTGCTAGAGACGGATGCCCGCAGTGCTGACGTACTCGCATCAGTATCCAAGGACGACCGGCGGGCTGTTTTTCGGTGGTGCGAGGATTCGCTCGCGTTGGCTCCCATTGCAGTGCTGAGACGGCGGCTCTGTTTGCGGGGCTTCAGCGAATCAAGACGATGTCGTATGACGTTTCCAAGCCATGTCCGTGTCCTAGTTTCCGACTCGTGTATGAACTGTGCTGCACTGCAGCCTCGATCACGCGCCGCAACAAAATATGTGAATGTCGTTTCCAGTGAAAGACTGATCGTGCGAGCCTTGTTGCTACTGCTTCGCTTATGTAGCACTGATGCAGACGCTGCAGACGGCGATGCTTTGCCATCGTCTGACGGAACAGGTGCCGTGAGGTCACCCACAGATAAGCAGCTACACGATAGTTTCTCCTCTTCTGCTGGAATGTGCCCGCCTACCGGAATACGTGCGTCACCCTTAAAGTTGATCGCACGTTGCTTCAAAAACTGGGCCACCGACGAAGAAGAGGTCGATGGATCCATGCGGTAAGCGCCTTCGGCAAAGACTATTGCATTCACCCGCTGGACAACCTGTTCTTCACGCTTTCGTATGAGCGTTACCACCGACTTTGCTCCGAAAGAGTAGGCCAGTACATACACGTTGCGAGCTTGGGCACGTGAGATAATGTTGTCCCATACATACAACATGTGCTCATCCGGTGATGAATTCTCGCGAATTGAGAACGTCGCACTCCTAATTGTCACATTATTTGTTGATGGGTTAAGCACAGCCACTGCAAAGTTCCCTGCCGTCGCACGGCGCATCACAGGCAGCATCGACCCGAGCTCCAGTCCTTCCTGAATCAGTAAATCTCGACTCCATATCCCAGGCTGGGCGCCTCGGCCACCGTTGACCACCACCAACAAGTTGCTATTTGTGCGCCAATCCGATGTGAGAAACACGCTCGTACGAGCTTCTTTTGGCTCATGGGGCTGGATATCTAACGGTACGCGAGCCTGTTTGAATGCCAGCTCAGCCAGCATTTCCATCTGTATGTGGAAGATGGCGGCTTTAACGATATCGTCGAGCTCGCCCGCTCGTCGCTCGTCGCCCATGAGTTCGTATACGGCCTGGTTCGTGCGACAGTGACGTAACGTGCCAGCGTCATCGAAGTAATAGTCCAGCTCTTCTAACGACTCGAGTTGGTCGGTCAGCGCGATGCTTTCGCGGCCTGGTGGTACATTATCGTCATTTGTACCAGTACAACAGCTGGCACTACTGCCACCGAACTTTTGGGTCTTGAGACGCGCGGCGTCGTCCGCATTCATGCACAGAATGTACTGTCGGCCGTCCTCGCAGCTCGCTGACTCGGTGACCTGCTCGAGTGACGCGGCAAGCAGCACGACGCAGTTGTGCAGCAATCCCGGCTCGCGCTGCGTCACTTCAACGTCGTCGTCATTGCAACTCTGATTAGTTAGCCCAAGATTTCCATGATTACAAAACGTACAAATCGTACACAATAGGACACCAAAAAAAGCACGTCAGTTCTTAGTCGAGGCTATTAATAGACTCCAGATGTATTGACATCGACGACCGACCATGAGGAATTCGTTGACAACCGTAAGCCACGGATCTGTAGGCAACACGAACGCCATAACGGGGGCACTCACGTCCATGACCGGTCCCTTTGCGACCGCCAGCTGCACGAACACGCGTCTGCTGTCTACCATTGTCGTGTTGTCGACTGTCTAGTCGACCTCGTTGTTGGTCGAAGTCGCACTTAAGCGGGTGCAGCGATACTCGCAGTACTTTTCATATCCCGCTTTCTGTTTCGCATGCTGATTGGCTGATATCTTTCCACGGAACGTTGCAGTGACCTTCATTCTCAATTCAAATGCGCGCTCGCATGGCGTCTCTCCCACGCCTAGCGCTCTCCCGCGCATGTACGCGAATGACGACGACGACGACGCCGTCGATGGCTGTCGGTACATTGTTGCACCTGTCCACCGCTCCAGACCACGCCCAAGGACCACCTGTAGCTGGCAGACCGCAGCGCCGCCTTCAGTACGACGCGCACATACCCACGACGCCGCTCCAGAAGCTCGTGCTGGCCGTTACATCGGCCGTCACGGTATTTGCTAACCCTAAACGCGGCGACATGTTGGCTATTTTGGGTGACGTGACAGGCCGTGACGCCCTGCGCCGCATCCATGCACACATGTGCGCGGATCCTATTGGCTCCCGCATTTTGGCCGACAAGCCCGTGATTCGTAATCATAAGATCGACCGCGACTACCTCCGCGCTCTCCCGAGCAATACATTTGGCCACCAGTACGCCCTGTTTATGGCCAGGCACGGCTTCGATGCCAACGATCGCTCGCCTGTGCGGTATGTCGATGACCCGGAACTGGCCTACGTCATGCAGCGCCATCGCGAGTCGCACGACTTTTGGCACACGCTGTTTGACTTGCCCCCGACGGTTTTGGGCGAGATCGCACTCAAGTACGTGGAGATGGTACATGCCAAGCTGCCGGTGAGTGCTCTGAGTGCATTTGTAGGTCCGCTGCGGCTCTCGAGCGACGATCGGTGGCTGCTGCTGAATGTGTACGTGCCATGGGCTTGTCGCGCGGCAAAGAAGGTGCACTCGTTGCATTGCATTGTGTATGAAGAGGAGTTCGAGACGCCGATTGAGGAGCTGCGCCAGCGTCTGAATATCGAAGTCGCTCCGTCGTTACCGAAACACAAGCAACAGACGCTCTGAGAGTGGCGAGCGCTGATGCTGTTGGGAAGGGTTTTGTCGATGCGCAGTTCAGTTCACAGGAGAATGAGAGAGAGGTGGTGTACAGAGCAAGTTGCCCTCCGCTTACGATTGATATATTCCAAAGAGATCGCACTCCCGGTCACCACTACACAGCTCGTGCTCGTGCTCGGTACTTGAAACAGCTGTCTGTGCTTTTGTGTCGTCTACTGTTTCTACAGGATCCTGCACGCTATTTCTACTCGAGCTTTGCGCGCTGCCATTTTGCGCGCAATGTGATGCAGCGTAGGCGGGTACTTGATCGACTGATGCAGCATAGGCAGGCACTTGATCGACAGCTTTTTGTAATGATGACGGTGGAGGAGTTGCCCCGAAGACAGAACGGGCTACTGGAGCAGTATTAAACGACGAGCCGGGTACGTCCCATTCATCAGCGTGTGAATCAGGTACCGCCGTCGTCGAAGCCGAGGTTGGCGACGCCGGCGTGTTTTTTGAAGTCACAGCGGCCAATTGTGCTGGTTGCTGCTTCAGTGACGATACACTGTGCTGTGCTGTAAGAGAGCACCCGTCCTCGAGAGATGGCACCATCGGTCCTGACGTACCCGGCGAAAGGAATGGGTTGTGCGCCACCTCATACTGGACATCGTATGAGTAGTTCATATCCATAATCACCTTCTCAGAAGGTTTTTTCCTCAGGTCAACGTTTGTGTCGAGGGAGCTTGAGCTTCTGGAGACAGCCTGTGCTGATACTGCTGCTGACGGAAACAATTCGTTGTACCCTGTGCTCAAACTGCTGTGCACACTTCGCGCTCCGTCACTTGCCATACCAGTTGTACAACTTCCGTTGCTCGGTACACACTTGTGTCGCGCAGCTCGCTGAGCAGAAGACTTGAACGCGGCGTACTTCGGGATACCACACAGCGTTAAACACTCATACTCGCCCATGCTCAAAGGACTCAATGGACCCTCCAGAGCACCTCCATCTGAAAGTATACAATCTGGCACCGCGCTTGTGCCCGCTGACGTAGCATCCAAGAGGCTTTGCATACTGCTTGCTACAGACGCATCCCCACTGCCCGTGCCATTGGAGCTCGGGTCAAATGGACGCTGAAACGAAGTTGCGAATGGATTTTTTGCGTCGTCATCGTCAGTATCAAACCCTTGAAGCGTAGACGTCTGTAGGGTACAATCCGACATGACCGACTTCCCAACGTCATTAATGCCAAACATCTCTGAGAACGCCCCAGAAATACCCGTACCAAGAGCCGATATCTCCGAGCCGAATTCAGCTGCTGCTACCGACTGTGCGCGGATATGTGGCGGTCTACCGTCCAAGGTTGCTACCGTCTTCCCAGCTGGAACTTTTACAGGGGCACTCTTCAACGAAACAGTTGCTGTCAGAAGCTGCAGATACGCGACCAACTCGTCGTGACATCCCTTCGCCCCCACTTCTCCCGTCACCGCATACTCTGTCAGCAACGTGTTGGCAAGCAGCACCAGTTCGCTGATCTGGCTCAAACGCTTCTCCATCTTGCTGTTCCAATCACCCATTCCTACGACCCAGCGACCTGCATCAGCTACATACGCGACACTAGACCTGCAACAGCAACAATTCAGAGAGTCAGTATAGATCGATCGCCACAAACCGAGAAGCGATGGACATACTCTAATTCGTCGCGAATTTCGTCTCGGTACTCGTAGCAGCGCTGGAAGAGAAGTACCGCTGTACTGACAACGCCTGCACGGCCCATATTCAATACAACAAAGATGTCAATTTGTCAGTCAAGTCGGCTACGGATACGCAATAGCGACGGACTGTAAACGCACAAACAGGTAGATTCGGGCCCATGCGCTGGAAAAACTTCTCATAGTAAATCACCTGTAAAACAGCAGTAGATTCCGTTACGGCATGCTTTGCGTTATGGGACTCTATAAGTGATGCATTCGTAATAAGTATCGTTCTATTCCAGCTCGAACCTTTTTCATAAAAGTAGCCAGATGGTCCTTCACTCGAGCGATAGCTGTCATGGACTTGCCGATGCTCGAAATAGACTGACCTGCGCTGAAGATTGACGTCATATTGCTTCAGTGCAGTGGGAATTCTACTGCTGAGGCAAAGTAAGCGCTGGAATGGTGAAGTCAACGACGTTACAGACGTAGACGTAGAGGCTGAATAGCTCCAGAGTGTTCTTTGCTGAATGTCTGTGCTCGGTTTTTGCATCGGTATGCTCAAAGAGAGTGCGGTACATGGTCCAAATACTACCAGTCCATGCTGACTCAAAATTATGCTGGACCTAAACAATGGACCGGCAATGTGCACGCTAGAACGACCGTGTCCTGGCAATGCTGCACAAAGTGCTGGATGGGAAGTCGCGACTGGGTGACAAATGCTTGCAAAAAAAGCAGCAGTGGTAGTCTATTCCTCCTAGCTTGCGGAGCTTCAAGGGCTTTGTCGATTGCAGCGGGCGATCCAGCCCTCCATGAAGGTGGAATCCTGCAGCAGAGTCATTCAACTTCCCATAAAGCAAAATGATCAGCAGCAGCTGATGCAGATAACGGGCTCCCCCGAAAGCGTTTGGCGCGATGGAACGCTGGGTCCAATGAAGGCCATGTGCGTGTTCACATGCCAACGCCTTCCAGTTATACAGCTGTCAGCGTAAGTTGTTGCGGCTCTTGACTCGATTATTACTCTGTCAGACATTCTGAAATCGGCCACAGCGAATCCTTCACGAACAGTGAGAGCACTCGTGGATGTGACCTCACAGATGGTCCTCAGCATTCAAAGTTTTATCAGAGATACCGGCTACCGAGCGGTATCTGAACCGTCTGATGTCATCTGGAAAGCGCTTTCAGACTGACTTGAAAATGAGTGCAACTCTAGTATGAGCTCTTCTTGACCTGCCACGCCACGCTTTGACACTGAAGCAGCCTATTTCTGACTACATGTAGGTCAGTAGTCCTCGGTGCGTATAATAGAGTTCAATGTAGGTTGTGAGATCAGACACTCGTCGAGCGAGTAAGTTCACAACGACTGATAGTAATTTGCTTGGAGGCTCGACCAGCATGCTACGATCGCCAATGCGACGTGGTCGCGTCACCGAGAGGAGCTTGGTGCCAGAATCAGCGAACACCACGACTGGTTCGTGTCGGTGCTCTCCACTTGAAATCGAGAACCCTGTCACAGTCTGGCGAGCAGTTGGTTCTCTGGAAAACGAAACCCTCCGCCACAAGCGACGCCGCGAGTCTAACCAGCATCCAGTCGGGCATTCCCACCTTGGGAGGGCTCGCTGCAAATCTTCCGTCAACGTTTTGAACATTTGAACGTCGTGGACGGAAGAATGACGAGCTCGTAATCAATGACACGTTAAGTATCACCCATGCCTGTGGGTCGACTGTTCGTGCGAGCACACGGACGCGAATCACAGAGTTAGTATCGTTTCCCAATCAGCAGAGGTTTTCCTGCTGCAGCTACCTATGAACTGTAGATCGAATCGAATCTCGCTGCATTTCAGGGACAAGGTCGGATATCGAACTGCTGGTGATCGAGTCAAGGCCGATTGTCTCAAGAGACCCGACAACTGACTGCTCAAACCGTCTGTGTTTCTGGACACGCGCATGCGAGGCCACGAAGGCTTTGCTACCATTTGGATGACAGAAAAGCGTCACGTGGACGTACGGACAAAAGACGTGGCAGGAATCGCCCAACGTGGTGTCGTGGGTGGAAACTCAAGTGTAAAGTCGTTGCGGGATTTGCAGATGGTCGTAAACGCCAAACCGGCTCGACATGGTGGTCACAAACGAGCCGACAAGCTCCTTCCATTGACGAGTTCGGCAGCACGCTCCTCCCCTCTTGAGAGCTACTGACGACGTAGAGTCAGCACTGCCAGCAGTTCCAAGGTCACTTCAATCCACAGGTGTCACGCCGCCGTCAACCAAGTCGGCCCTGCTCTTTGCACGGGTTAGTGCCACCCGTCCGTCGTCGGTCTGTTCGTCTCACTCTGCGATTCCTTTGCAGGAACCTACGACACGCCCGACGCCGTCGTCGTCTTTGGTCGTCTTCATCTCCTCCTGGTTGTTGGTGTTTTGTTTGAACAGCTATGGGGGTTCGCACGGAGCACGGCGCTTTCTACAGCGCCAACTCCGTCTTTACGAACTCAATGAACGGGTCCAATTACAGCACCGGTGGGAACGTCGAGCACGGGCTCTCAGTCATGACCTTGACATTCGGACCAGATGGTGGTCGTCGAAGTATCGACAGTATCGAGCCAACAGCTATTCTCGGTAACAACAACCGCTTCGTCGCTGGCAGCAAGTTCTTCAATTACCAGCAATTCGGTGCTCTTCGTCAAGGCGGGAGCGTCACTCTCTTCTCGGCTTCCTACTATGGGTTACTCATTGCAACTGCACAGAGCAGTATCGTTTATGCCGTCCTCCGGTACTGTATGCGACCGACACTTATGCACTCGCTCATGCTCGAGCGATCCGAGAGCTCGGTGGTCATCGAGTGTCTCTTAAGTATTCCAACGACGCTCAGCTTTTTTCTCGGGCTACTATCCGATGTCGTACCAATTGGTGGATATCGTCGCAAGTCGTACATGATTACCGGGACGTTGCTGAGTTTCGTGATGTGTATGGGATTGATGATTTTATCAGCAACTGGCCACGTCCAAAGTTCCAGCGAGAGCAAACGCAGTAACTACATTGTGTATTACATGGTGCTTATCATAGGCGCAACTTTTGGCACGATGCTCAGTAAAATTGCTACAGATGCACGAGTTATTGAGCTGTCCCAACGGGAACCGCTTACCGCACGTGGGAAGCTGCAGATCAACTATTTACTATTTCGTACAGGGATTGAGTGGATCGGACTCTGGTTGACCGCAGCTCTGGTTCGGTATGACAATGAGAATCGGAGCTACGCTTTGCACATAAATCCGTTCTGGGCCTACGCTACCTTGGCTCTGCTGAGTCTAGTGCCAGTGCCGTTCGTATTGCGTAATTGCAATGAACGCAAGGTTCGAGTCGACGTCGGTACGGTTAATGGAGTGATTGAAGAAGAAGGAAACGTGGCCGTGATTTCCTCGGCAACTTCGACCGCTGCGGCTCGTGTTGGTGCTTTCTTTCGTATGTGCCAGCAGCGAGCCATGTGGCAACTCGTCGTTTTCTTGTGTATTCTTTTGGCGACCACTCGCTTTTACTTTGGCTCGGCCAATGCGGTGCTTGTTACCATGGCGGAGCTGAATCCGAACACTACACTTGTGACAAACGCGCTCAAGTATGTCTCGACTCTGGTCTCGATGATCATGTGGAAGATGTTTTGGACCAATTCGTCTTGGCGGTGGTGTGTAAGTCTCGGAGTTGCTGTCACAGTTGTTCCTGAGACCATTCGCGCCATTGTGATGATTTACGTGCCGTCAGTTCGTGGCCAGGCTTTCTACGACACGCTCGGTTGCATTCCGGGTTTTACAGACGGGATCATTACGATATTTTCGCTCATCCCGGCTACTGAGATTGCTGAAAACGGCTCGGAAGGTGCTACTCAGGGTATGCTGTTGTCGTTCCGTAGTACGATTGCCATTGCTATGCGGACTCTGAGCAGTGACTGGATGTCCGACATTGCCCCTGTCACCATCAGCAGTGGAACTAGTCTGCTTCTGCTGTTACTTCTCATCTCGTTTGTTGTGCACGGCTTGGCTTTCTTCTCGGTGCTACTGCTGCCCCGCCAGAAGTTGGATGCACAGCAAATGCGAGTATACGGCGGCTACAGCAAGTTTGCGTGTATCGCGATCTGGATTGTCTATATTGTCTTCTTTGTCTACGCTATGGCAGTGAATTTCAAAGCCATGGCGGATATGGCAGGCGTACGGTAGAAATGTAGTTGAATGATAAATGTCTGGTAATCGATTGAACATTGGTAGGTTTCCTGAACCAAATTTACGTGTCGAGAACCAGTGTCGCCCAGTCCGCAAAGTCGTGCTCGCATAATTTTTAAACGGCGCTGATCATTGTGTAGTAGTGAGACATGGCTAGCATACCTTTCGCAACGCGAAAACTATACGCAAGTGCCGCACAGCTACTATATCACGAACAAAATACACTATATCACGAACCACTATCACGAACGAAAGACACGTTTTTGCGACAAGCGCTTCAGAGTAAAACACAGACCTGCAGACACAATCTTCATCGCTATGGCCTGCTCTCAATCCGAGGACATGCTTGCCTACCAAATGCTATTATTTTTGCATTGAGTGCTAGTGAGCATTTCTGTGAATGAGAGTGAAAGCTCGAAGAAAAGGTGCTGTCGAAAGTCTTACACGATACGCAGATTTCGCATAGGTTGACAGCGCACGGAGTAGTATTCATCATGCAACCTTTCTGCCAAGAATTCATTGCTCTCGATAACAACGCGACTTCAATAATGCTTGATACGATTCAAATAGCAATGCAATTCTTACAAGTTCACAAGATGTTTTTCTTGAGCCTGAACCTACTGATTTCTATGGTCTCATAACCTCTTCACCCCCTTTTGATAGTCGACCGAACTTGTGCAGTATGTGATCCGCCATATATTGCGTTCCAGTAAAAAAGTCTCAGTTGTCTTCAGAACGGTCAGACATGATTGCTTATAATTTAGATACGTTTGCTGTCTATGAAGGAATCACATACACCATATGATTCGTCTCGTTTAGGAACATGGTTGCCTTGGGTGCAAAGTCCATCCCGTGGCACATTCGATTCCAGCCACAAATACATGGAGTGTCTTCCATTGAAAAGAAAGATATTACGAAACGAAGAGCACTCAATTTATTTGTGTATGCAGTTTCGAGTTGACGACCAGAAGCGTATAGTGCACTAAAAAGCAGATGAACGAAAGCAAAAAAAGTTTCCACGTTATTTTGTAATTTCGATTGAAGAGGCGCCGGCAGGTGAGCGGGTGCCCGAAATAAAAATGGGCTATTTTCGACTTCATGTTCGGTAACGGGCTTCCTGGTACCGAATATTGCGATGCATTACATCCCCATTCAAAATAATGCTAGTTCTAATGCTTCGTCAACTTCAAATTTACACCTTTTATATACCACAAGCAGCTGAAGATTTAATCTGGCACCTGTCGCTGCTCAATAGAGATTTCTTAGCATGATTGACGATTGAAAATTAGCCGCATCCAAGTTTTCCAAATGCAGCTTTGCAAGCACTGGCACTGGCTTGAGCTCTTGCATTGACACGATTCGCTTGTTCAGAGAGATTTATCAATATGCATCTCTCACTTGCATCAAGTGGCGAAAAGAAACCTGAAAAACACTCATGCAGTGCTCGAAAATGGAAGTAGCGGACTTGGACCGACCTCCCAGCAATTGAGTCATCACCACAAAACAATTACGCCAGTGACGTATTGGCACGGACATGAAGTGTGTAGAGTGGGCTCTCGATCCGGTGTATACTAATGCACCTTGCAATGACAGGGAGAACCGAATGCGACCATGTAGAAATTAAAGGATCGAGAAGCGCGCACATTCACATAAGATACGTTGATACTAGCGTCTCCGCAACCTAATGCGATACGAGATGTATTACAAAGACTGAAGTGGAATAGTGGTGATCCCCGCACAAAAAGCAGAGGGCACCTGGCGATGAACTCTAGTCTCACAAAATTTCTGTTCGTACAAGAGCATTATCAACGGCTGCTTCTTCGATGTGGTGTAAAAATGTCATTCATTGTAATATCATAAATTGTTGCAAGCCCGAAGGGTAAAGCTATTACAGTGAGTGTGCGCAAGGTTGAATACCGAACTTTTAAATCGTACTTATCTGTCTGGTGCCTGTTAATAACGCGGTTAGGTGCACCCCTTACACGTTCTAAGTGCGATCTAGCCTGTCCCCATCACATGTTGATTAGTGTGATAGGTGTCACTCCTTACTTAGGTCACTGATCGCGACCACATTGATAGTAAAATGCGCACGACTAAAGCGCGCGTGCGATTAGCTCAAAGTTCGTACGAAACTAAAAACTTAACGAAAATCAACGTGATAACGTACAGCTCTTCAGAGCTCAGAAGTTGTTGCATATCTGACACAACAAAATCAGTATCTCCATCAGTATCTCTATTACCAGTTAAATTGCTTCTTCCCTTTCCAAGTTTTATTGCAAGCTACCCATCCAATAAAACGTAGGATGGGAAGAAGACTTCTTCCTGCCTATACGCCGGAGTCTCCAGAGTCGCCAAGAAGTAAGCGTCGACGTCTAAATAGGAGGCGCGCCCAAAGTTCACACGCCAGCCTTGCCGCCTTCTTGAGTGAAACCGCTACAACAGCTCTTCGAGAACAGGTAGTACTAGGCAAGTTGACTTGGGCTGATAACATTTGTCTCATTTTACACATACTCTAAACTTTTATATGTGTCTTTTGTATTTGGTTGAATTATGATTTATAAGAATGTTATGAACCTTTTTTATGTAAATAATCGTAAACTATATCGCGTCAAAAATGTATAAAAAGGGGTTTAACTGGACCGATAGGTTATCAGGATTACGAAAAACGAGAGCTAAACTATCTTTTTATCTAAATGAATGCATCTATGAGAGCTAGGCGTGCTACAGAACCAGAATCTCAAAGGCAAGCTCCTTTTACTCATGGCAACCTAGCTATGTGTTGATTAGTGCACAAATATGCGAATGATACAATGCTACAATCCTTTTTAGTGTCTGGTATGCATATTTCTCTTTAAATTATCAAGCCAACGTCGTGAGCCTTCAAACTGAAGCAGAAGCAAGATCTCAAGATAGACATGCTCGCACCAGTCAAGGTTTCTATATAATTGATGTGTTTAGACATGTTTAAATTGTCGTTTATTTAACTCTAGTATTAATTGGGAACTGGCGCTTGTCACCAGAATGAAACAGAGGCTGAATCTCAATCTAGACATTTCCGGAACAGTCAAGGTTTGTACATTCTTGATCTATTCGCACATACTTTTAATCTCTATCGAAATCTCATTATATAATTGTTCAACCACCGCTAAAGTCGCCAAATCGAAACTGAAGCTAATGCTACAGCTAGACATGCTTGGAAACAGCCAAGGGTTGTATATGCTTGACGTATTTGGGCATGCTATTATTATTGTCTACATCGGTTTTTATATATTGTCTAGCAATCGCCGCCCGTCGCCAAAGTGAAACAGAAGTTGAATCTTTAGCTAGACATGCTCAGGATCGTGAAGTTTTGTGTATGCTTAATGTATTCGGACGTATTTTAATCATTATGTGAATCAATTTCTAATATTTAATCAGCAACCAATGCACGCCGAAATATAGAAAAAGAAGTTGAAACTCAAGCTAGGCGTGCTTAAGATGTTCAAGGCACATACGTGCTATTCGCGTGTCGAAATAAACAAACGTATTTATCCACTCTAAAACTGTGTTCGAGTACATGACCCGTCTTTAATTCCGCATATTGTGATACTCGTCGTGAAACAGAGTCAAAGATCAGTAACCACTTATAAGTCTCCTAGACAGGGAGGCCAGAGGATTACTACACAGAAACGATGCAACCGTACCAGTTATAGATATGGTTATGAAGACCGAATATCGATACCAGTATATTGTGGCTTAAAGCGGCCACTTCATGACCAAGTTTAAGGCCGTGAACAAATGTGATGTTCTATTTGCGTAACGGGGTCACACCAGCCATTGGCTAAATTGGTTGAAGACCTCCCATCGGTGATATGGGTGACAAGTGTGGTCTTAAATTTTATGTCAGTAGATAATATTTATTAGTTAGTATTCTCTGAGCCACGGTCCTAGCGTGGATGTACTTTGTGCCGTCATCACTTGATTACTGAGTGATGTGCCATTCTTACATTTAGTTCGAATATTAATATTTGTATTAGTTCTAGTTTAGCTTAATTTAGGGTGTTTAAAGTAGAGTTTTTCTCAATATAAAATCTAAGTAAGTTCTGTTCTCATTTTGACCAGAAGTCCGCACACTTCCACCCTTTCGCGCGTTGCGCTTGAAAGTTTTGTAAAAGTGTCGTGGACTAGAGAGTTCTTAGAGTCATGTATCCTCCTTTGAACATTGCGCGTGTAGTTCCTTAGAGCTACAGTAGTCTGAGCTAATAGCTCATAGAGTCCCACCTAAGTTCCGTTAAACTAGCCGACTCTTTTTGATACATTAGTTCCTTAGAACTAATTGTTCACTAGCCCTCACAACTAATTTAAGAGTTAGCCGTAAGCCTCTGGCTTAACCCGTAATGTCTTCCTCTGACTTTAGAGCTATGGTAGCTCCGCTTCACTTGGTAGCACTTGTAGTCAATCCTACACCTGAGTCGTGTTCGACTGATCCTCTGTAAAGAGATGGAGAGTCTTGACTACCTCTACGAGGCCCAACGTCTCGTGCTCGGTAAGCTTAGAGTGTTGATCGGTGTCGAGCAGGTCGACCACTTTGTGGCCCAATGTCCAGAGTGCTCAATGCACGCCTTGATGCGTTCATGCAGATTGAGGCCACGCTGATCGGGAGGGTCCATGAACACTTATCCTCAGCTATACCTACACGATACATTCCAATACCTGATAGTGAGCCAAAGGCTCGTACGCTCGTTCTTAGCGTTTAGACTTTCGGCGGAAAAGAGGAGGGGTCTCCTTCTCTGGATCCGGGAAGTCGATATGGCTATAAACGACGCGATGCTTCAAATCAGAGAAACAGAAAGATGGCTTACTCATTTCGAAACTAGACGTTAAAGCCATAGAATAGGCTCTGACGTGTGATGCCTCGGTAGACGCTGCATTTTTCACATGCAATTTGCTTAAACGAGAGATGTCTTGGGTGTTCGCACCACCGAAGCAAGCGTACCATGTACGCTCCCGATTCCTTGCCGCCAGGAAAAAGAAGAAGGAATTATCGGAATTTGTCCAGGAGTTGCGACCTTTCATAGTTACCATGCAGATGGAATCTCTTCCAGAAGAAGTCCGTGTCACCATATCCACATCAGGACTTCATACTGGAGTTGCGAGGACGGAAGCATACCGCGTCCACTCTTCAGCGTTTGAAGAGGCTGTGACATCGTGTTGAACAATGGGTTCAACCTCAAAGCCTCTCGCTCTGGTACTCATGTATATGCCCAAAATCGTTTGACAGGCTGAGCCCATGGACCTCAGCCATGCTGAAGAAGAAGAGAGATCTTCAAGCTGTTGAACAGCAATGTAACATTCGTAGACGTTACGCGTGCGAGACAACCAAACGCTTGCGCTCATAGTGTCCGCTGCGGAAACTGCGTCAAAGTCGGCAGAGCCGCAATCCGTCTCCTAACCTGAAGATGGATTCGGAGCGGGAGAACGTCAACTCCCAGTAGGCATGGGGCGCCCTACTAGGGAAGAACTAGACTCTGCCGAATCTCTATGTTGTAGAGATAGACAGGGTTAGCCCCAGACGGACTCGTGGAGGTCGCCACGATGCGTGAGTATGAGTCAGGCTTGTTAATTGCCTCAGCTAATTTTGAGAGCTTTAGACAGCCGTGGTCAATTTTGATTAGCGCTCAGGCGTCGGGAAACTATGTTTGGCGTCGATCATTTAAGGGAAGTCAGCACAATGCTGAGGCTCTAAAAGCGCATGGGGGTGATGTTGTTACTGTTCTCCTGGTGACGGGGACCCGTTTCACCGTACATAACGTTTAATTGACCTTAGGCGTAAAGGCTTTAGACTTAGATAGTATCGAACGTTGTCTTGTCCTTAATTTGGACTCGAGATACGATCCAATCTTTGGTATGGCTTGAACGCCATGAATCATGGATGATTGGCGGTCGAAGACCTTAGGCGCTACGCGCGATGTTCCTTGCGAAGATTTGGAGAGTCATGAACCCACCTTTGCTAGGCAACAAAAGCGCTATTGGTGCGAGCCACTAACCGATTCAGTAATTTTGCTGGAGATCGGAGTGTCTGAGTTTATTAACTCTAATGTCATTAACAAATTGTTAAACGGCACGTAATCTGTTGAGTGACACTAATAATAGTGAATCAAAGAATGCTAGTAGCTTTGATATCCAGATCCGATACACCCTGGGTGTGATCTCTGTGATGCATGTGCAGTGGCATGTACTCCACTGAGCGAGGGAGGCTGCGATAGCACCTAACCGAATGTCGGTAATGACTTTGTTGGCAATATGCCAAGAAGTCCAGGGCTAGTCTTGAATAGGGCATGTGCAGTGGCACGTATGCCACTGAGTGAGGTCGGCCGTGATGGCACCCCACTGTATGGAGGTAATAACATTGTTGGCAATGTACCAAGGCATTAAGAGCCATGCTCATTTGATGTGAGTATAGTGTAGGGTGATTTACTGAGTAAGGTAGGCCCTGCACCATACTGAATGTTGGTAATGACATTGTTGGCAATACGCCAAGGCATCAAGGGCCATGCTCATTTGATGCGAATATCGTGAAAATGATCCAAAGAGTGGGGTAGGCCGCGATGGCACCACACTCAATGTCGGTGATGACATTGGCTCTCAGATCGAGCAAGTTGAGGTTAAAGATGATCTTCACCTCGTGGAAACGGATGTGCCTAACACGTCGAAGTGTTCAGTACCTGTGCAGAGACGGCAGAAACGCCAGATGGCTGCTGCAAAACGAAAGGCATCTGCCATTTCCAAAAGGACACCAGTGAAAAATTGTACACATTTGGATAATGTGGTGACGGGCGAAATTGATGGAGAAGTTGGCCTCGAGGCCCCCCATCGCTTAACGCTCTGTCAGAGCTAGATGCAATGTCTGTAGATATATTTTATCAGGCCTTGAGACCCAAAGCTTTTTCTGATATGGTGGTCCTTAGACCTGATCTAGAGTTCAACTTTTCATTTGTTGCAGATGAGACAGTCCTTGAGGACGTTAAAGTTGCACTCAGTGCTCGCAGCGGATCTGCCATTTTAATAATTCCTTTGTATCCCTTCTATCCTTTGGTAAATAAGTTTAGGACGTGGTGTGTCATGATCCACCATCCACTCTACCTCCCGACAGAAGTGTACGTCATGAAATTGACTTGGTCCCTGGGACCAAATACTGTTTCACACGGCGATGGCCATTACCTAAAAGACAGTGTGACGTCATTGACGAGTTCTTTCGTGCAAAGTACGCGGCAGGCATGGTCCGGGAGAGCAAATCTCAACACTCGACCGACATTTTTTGTCAGAAAGCCCAATGGCAAATAGCGTATTGTGCACGCTCACAATAAGCTCAATGCGGCCACTATACCTGTGCAGACACCTATTCCTAGAAAGGATGTTCTTCAGAACAATATGGTGGGTTGCACCTTTTTTAGCGCACTCGACTTAGTCGATGGGTATTACCAATTACTCATGAGAGCGTGTGATATCCCCCTCACAGCGATTAGTACGCCAAGTATTATGCTTTGGGAGTGCATTTATTAGGCCTCAGGGACTTTTAATGCCCCCGCAACCTTTGATCGTCTCGTGAAGCAGTTGTTCCGCCCTCATAGAGGGTATGCACAAAGCTATTCTGATGGCATTTTTGTCCATAGCCGTGCAGAACAAGGAAGATCAGATGTGGAAAATCACATTGACCATTTATGAGCAGTGCTCGGGTGCATACGCACCAACAAGTTGTATGCAAATGCATCTAAGTGCATTTTTGGTGCTGAAGAAATCTCTTTTTAGGGTGCTTCATTAAGAAGCGCGTCCTACGGGCAGATCCCACTAAATTAAAATCCATTGTGGATTGGCCGATTCCGTCGAACCAAAAGTACTTGCGTAAATAGCTCGGTTTGGCCAATTACTTGCACAAGTATAGGGCAAACTACGCTGTTATGTCATAGCTTTTAACCAACCTCCTGAAGAATGATGTAGTTTGGTGCTGGTACAAAGTCCAGGCTCAAGCTAATAAAGCTTTCAAGAATAGTCTGCTTCATGCCCAAATTTCGGCTTCGCCTGACCCTGAGTGGCCTTTTAGTGTCTTCGGTGACGCGTCTGATATCGCTTATAATTATGCATCGTTGCAGACAAATTTCGATGGGCATGAGAGCTTAATTGAGTACATATCTCGTCAGCTCAAGGATGAAGAGAAACTTTTTTAGATCACGAGAAAGCGTTACTCGCAACGAAATTTGCTCTTGTTAGGTTCAGAGTCCACCTAATTGGCTCAAAGCCTTTTGTGATCTTCACAGATCATGCGTCAGTACGCACTGATATACAATCACCTCATATCTCACAGCGGATGTCCCGTTGGCTTTCATTCTTTGCTGGATAGAACTTCGAGGTGAAGTACAAGCCGGGCAAACAAAATGCGTTGGATGATGCGTTGTAATGCATACCTAATTATGAGCTTGCTTATGTTACGGCATTGTCTTCATTCATTGTGAATTAAATTCTTGCGTAAAATGCACGTGATGAGCAATGTGTGGCATTGCTACATGCTCCTGGAAGCGATAAGTTTTAAGACTCGGACATAACATTGTCGGCACGTTTACGTGCGAGCCTCCATCGATATGTCATCGATCGTGGGTTGTTGTGCTATTGCACGGGTGTTGAGGATGCGACCCGCATCTCTGTTCCTCATGATAAGGACTTGACGTATCGTATCCTCTTTGAGGCACAAAAAACTGCTTTGAGCGTCATCTAGGTCATGAGAAGACCTATAGCTCAGTTAGACAGGCTTATTGGTGGCCCAAGTTGTACAAATGGGTGCGCACATATGTGCGTACGTGCGAAACGTGTCAACGAGTCAAACCCTCAGCCCATGTGGTTGCACCGCTGGCTAGTCTGCCTGTACCCACTGGGGGTTGGGAGTCTATGATGGATTTTGTGCTCGGCCAACCGAAATATTCGGAAGGCAACCCTGGTATTGTGGTCTTTGTTGACCGTTTGAGCAATATGGCTCACTTAGCGGCTGGGCCAATTCCATCAATGGTGAAGTTACAACGAATTTGATATTCGACCTTGTGTTTCGTCAACCCGCTATGCCTGTGGCAATTGTCTCTGATCGTGATCCCCGCGTCACTGGAGAGTTATGGAAGTCTATCTTTAAGGTGCTGGGCACCAGGTTCGACATGTCCATAGCGGATCATTCGCAAACTAATGGTCAAACTGAGCGTGTGAACGGTGTCATTGGTGACATTTTGCGCAGTGTTCTTGCTGATACGCCACGGCGGTGGAGCTCAATGCTTCCTGTTGTAGAACTTGCATTGAACAATGCTGTTCATGCCTCCATAGGCTTTACTCCGTTTAACGTAACCGGTCTCAACCATTCTCGCGTTCCGATAACGCTACCACTCTGTGGTCCAGGGCTTGGTGGGGAAGGGGTTGCCGATCGGCTTGCTGATGTCAGCCCTGCTACTGTTCAGAAACAGGTAGGCGAGTTTATCGCAACGCGATTGAATGTCTTACGGCATGTGCGTGATGCAATGGCTGATAGCCAAGATCAACAAAAACAACAAGCTGCTGTCACAGGCAGAAATTGTATTGAAAGTTATGAGGTCGGAGACCAAGTATTTCTCAATGCAAAGATCCTACCTACAAATGTAGTGTCTGCTGTCTTTATTACAAAGTTTCTTCCACGCTCCATTGGGCCGTTTTTGTTCACTGCCAAGAAGGTCCTTGCATATACGCTCAACCTTCCACGCAAATTGCGTACGCAAACAGTGTTATACGTAGTCTTACTTTATTTGTAACGGGATCCTTCTCATGTGAACTTTGAGTCGCTTGCGCCGACGACAAGGGCACTGCCCCGGATTGCTGAAAGCGAATCAGCAAGTCCAACTGAGCCTCGCTCCGATTTTGAGCATGCTTCATCGCCTGAAGGCGGCTCTGCATCGCATCCAGCATGCATTAGGTCTTCCCCAGGGTCTCGTGAAGACCCTTCACTTGGAGAACCAATTTCTCGTCGACTGCCACCGGTACACCGGCAGCTACCGACGCTTCTCTTTGAGCACGTGTGTCTTCAGTTTCATGTCGAGAGGCTACTGAAATGACTTCGTCTTCATGGCCAGTACCAGCATCTGGAAAATTGGCGTGGATACCCTGAGTCTGAGAACTCATGGGAATACGAGGTACGACTACAGCAAGATTGCTTTTATGCTTTCGATGTTTTTGAACATCGTGGCCAAGGTCATCTTGAGAACGAGGTCGTTTCCCACCACTAGTGGTGTGGGTTAAATTCTGGTCATAGTTTGACGAGCGCTCGCGGCTACCGTAGTAGCCGAAGCATATCGCGTGGGATTACGTAATAGGCTTCTGGCCTTAAGCTTGGCATAGTCATACCGAAGCTTGCGTTCGAGACGCACATCAGCCACATTGGCACTAGCTCTTAGAGCAGACATACTGCTGAGGCGACGTATGCGGTGCACCCAGTGGACGAATGCAGTGTCTTCTTCGCTCTCTGTTTCGCCTGCAGAAAATAGAATGGGTACACTTTTAATCGATGGGACCGGTGTACCACGTGCTTGCATGTCAAGGCGTGCCTTGTATTGACCTTGGGTCGTTAGGTGCGGTTCCAGGTACCTCTCGCGAAGTGCCTGTCCGCTCGCCACCTCCTTAGGAGACTTAGGCCTGTAGCCAATGATCCACGTTGTCAACGATTGGCTGGCCGCTTGACTCAAGCTTTCCTCCACACTATGTGGAATGAATACATAGTCACGTTGGTGCTCGAGGGTTGCGGGCATTGGTGCATGGCGCCGAGTGCTTTCGCCTTGTTGAAGGATCATATGTGGCTGCTCATCGAGCAAGCTCGTGATGATGTTACCATCCGAAGCGGGATTTGAGCGCGGCGCCGATGGCGAACTCTGACCATCACGTTCAGGGAACGGATAGAGGGCAGGGCGAGGTTGTACCTAAGACATGGGTGCATCAGACACTGTCCCTGCATCACCGGGGACACTGGCATTGCTACCGTAGTCCAATACCTCCCCCATCACGAGGTAATCACTGAGAGTCTATGACTCGTTAAGTGTTGAGGACATCGTGCTGAAAGCTTTACGCTACTGTAATGAACCGCTCGTGCACTGACCCTAGGCAAGAACAAAGTTCGATGAGAACGTTCAATTGGGACGAGGTTCAATTGACGCTTTGGGAAACGTCAGTCTGGTGGGGGAGGGTGTAATGGGGTTACACGTAGTTGGGTACATGATACCCTGTGTCTTAGACACACGGATGATATCCCACTAGAAGAGATATAGAATATATTATCGGTTTATAGGGGCTGACTGTGGTCAGCAACTAGATAGGAGAGATCTTAGTTGTACTAACTTAGGTTAAGATATTCTATAGGTGTAAATGTAAATGAACTGCAGTTCCCTTTTGATCTTAAAGACACGTGCCTTGCGAGGCGTATTCGGTCGTTAATCGCTGACCACTAGAGTTAGCAACACCTCCTCGAGGTAGCTAGTTACTATTGAGCACTAAGTGCTGTCGATTCATTGAATCATTTGGTCCCCTGGAACAAGGAACATAAGCTTTACGCTTACTGACTCATTGAGTCTAGTTCTTTAGAACTTAGTTGCTCGTTGAGCGTTAAGTCTCCCTCTGATTTAAGGAGATGTGTAGCTCCGCTACACTGTGCTTGACGCCTGCGGTCATCTACCGACAGCAGACATTCACCTAAATCTTCACCAAAAGTGTTGTGCAACAAATTCAACGTAGGCACGCTGTTCAATAGGCGAAGATACCCTCTCGCGTTTCACGAATGGATTGGGCGCGACGCGCGTGGTGTCACGAGCCGGTGAAGTAGCTGGAGGCGGATCATAGACACCCGACACGACGGTATCACTCATGTAGTCCATTATACCTTCTTGAGAGATTTCTCAAGGGTGTTAGACGAAGGCTTTGGCTCAGTCGTTTTGAGATGTGTTGTCAACACGATGGTCAAGACCAGAGCTTTAATAGACCGCGAATAGCAATACAAGAATTGTTGTCACGAGAGTGCCGACAGTTGGTGGGGAAGGATGTAACGGGGTTACACGCAGTTATTGAACCAGTTATGTTATGCGGTCACAACAAGTAAAGATTGGTGGATCTGAGAGGTACAATCTTGGTAACACGCACTTACGGTAATACCGCACCTTTTCAGTTAGGGATACGAGATAAGACTTCTTTCATAGGATCGCAATGCAGAAGTCAGTCAGACAAGGTTATATGGTTTATATTACTGTATTAAAGAATGAATGACGTTCAGTTCCCATTGTGAACCGTTGGACACAAGTGTCTCGTCAAGGCATAGTGGTTGTAAGAATGTTAACCTTGTAATGGCGCTTACTTTCGTTTGAATGGTAGTGACAAGTTAGTGTGTGGTTCTGTGAATCGTAATCCCTTTGGAACCGGGATTGTTAAGCTGTACTCTTAAACGACTGTACGTCGTTGTTAGTTGTCATAACTAAGAGACTCTTTTAGTCTAAGACTTCCTCTGTTAAGGAGAGCTAGGTAGCTTCGCTACTTATAGCATTGTCAAGGAAGCGTATCTGGCGCGCTTGATGGTGCAATCACGAACACATACATTACGCGCTACCATGATACATATACTATCGTTTCCAAAGTACACTATTCCTTAGTCAATTACGTCAAGATGACCGGGCATACTCCGTTCACTTCGACTTACTTGCGCTTCATACAAACTATATGTATAAAAGACTGACGACCCTGAGCATTCAACAAGCATTCTTTTGTACTTGAAGTTTGTATGCCCGATGTGGCCGAAAACTTTTGACCGGATGGCAAAAGTGGTTTTTGTAAGTGAGCTATGCCACCAACTCAACAAATGGGAACGTTAACACATGAGGGGTATGTAATAAAGCTTCGCGCATTACACACTCAATTAACAGCGTTTAATTCGTACTAGATTTAGATTTACGAGTAAAAACATGGGTGGCCGTATGATTATGGTCCGGACGGTATGTGCTCGGTAGAGCAAACGAGAGACTCGGGGCAAATGTCTCTTCGTAGCACAGTTGATTCACGAAGAGTAGCAGTACGATCGAAGGAAATGAGTAATGAGATGCAGAGGTGTCAGCGTCTACAACTGCTTGATGAATACACGAAAGATTGTACTGACAGTATCGGATACCTCAGTGCCTCAGTGCCTTAGCGTTGTAATATCACTTTCCACCCATCGACTAGATTTGAAGCTGCTACAACTCGGCGCAGTGACTACGAGCTGCACTTGCTTGTTTACCTGTCCACTTCTATCGAATCAGGAGGGCTTTCCAGGTTGTAAAGTTTGTCAAATTGACCAAATAAATCAGCTGACTCACTCACGCGTACTATTTTCTGGCCTTCGGCTCTAAGCGTTTCATTTCTGATCGTACGTAATCTGGTTGTCGTTGTGGGTGTTGATGTCATCAATAAAGGTCCGGATTTGGGTTCTTCGAGCACGATGTACGAGTCGCTAACTCTACGTTAGCATAGCGTCTAAAGCTCCTGTCCAACCAATGGCGCAACTAATACAGACCTGGGGTTTGTGCCCTCACTGATTAGACTACATCAATCAAACCGCCGTCTGATATCGTTCTGATGCTGCTAGCAATCTGAATCAGCACCATGACGTCGCATCGTCATGGCCTTCGCCTCGAGTTCAAAAGCAAAATGGTAGTTGCGTCCTCATGCAAGTGCTGCAACCATAAGGATCTGCGACACTCGCGGTCTTTATAATCATCCACCCCATGCTCCATCCCTCCACGCTGCCGGCTACAAAACTTGTATCATGACTCATCACCTCGTCATATCCTCGTCGACTTCCATATCACATTGCTTTCATCGTATTTTATTCGTCGTCGATGCAGTAGCTTGTCAAACACTTGCTATAGGGCAGTCGTTCTTTCTCAGTAAGGAACATTAATGCCGATCATGCTCCAGGATTACGTACCTTCAGGTAGACCCTGCGACGAGGCGGGACGCACCGTCTCCCTCTACCACGTTGGATTCGTCAAGATACCGCCACAAATCGGTACGCCAGTCTGCCATCGCCACAAATGGAGAGAGGCCTAATCGCTTACAAACCATAAATTTTCATGGCTCTGTGGCACATACATGGAAAGGATAGTACACTCCAGAGTTCCGAATCGGAGCCCACCGCACCCACCCACAGGCGAAAAGACCTTGGGCGTGGGTGGGCTCTGTCCACCCACGCCCACCCAAAAATTGCCCATTTTATCACCATACTGTGCAAATAAGCCTCTTACACCGTGACAACCAAAGTTATGAACTATTATAGTGCTAAATACTATGAGCTTGCGACGTCGCGCCCGCTTTCACCGATTCACCGTTTCCGGTCGAACCCTTGACCAAAAGAACCAATGGTGTGGGTGGGCGTGGGCATGGGCGCTGAATTTGAATCACTCGGTACACTCGCATCGATTGCGCGATGTAAAGGACATTCCGTACGGCAAAGCTGAGCATACGTGCTACTTCAGTGCAGTTGCGATATCGGTAACGCAACATCAGCGAGTCCTAAAAGTAGGGTTTAATATTTGTGTGGTTATGATCAAAATCTCGTTCTATGCCGTTCGGTTACCCCTTCACTTAACAGAATCCATTAATAGATTAAGTGGACCCTTCCACGAGACAAGCAAAACTATGTCAATGACATTGAGGACGAGAACGCTATTGTCAACCGATGTTAGCGAATCAATCCAACGCAAACTTTGGTCGTCTGCGGCCATGACACATTTCTCATGTTTTTGTCCATCGAAATAGAATCATCCAAAGTGTGTACAGTGCGCACGTCACAGACACTGTTGCGACCGACCAGCAGTACGTCCTGAGCTGCGTCCTGTCTCTGCCACCACAACACTGTGCTGCGGGTAGGGCTCGGCACTGGCTCGAAACGCAAAGCTAGTTTTTTGTTACATCTTGTACCGGTACTCGCCACTAAAAATACCGTCCGCGCTCCTCGCTCGCTCATGTCCGACAGACTCTGGCCACCATGTGTTTACCGCTGCCATCTCGCCGCGACCGTCCGTCCCGCTGTCGTCATCCCCGCGATTCTCTTGGCCTCGAAATTTTAGCGACTGCGATTTCTCGACAAATCCTCAAGCACGAGGAACCAGTGAATGTTTCGACGATTCCAGCCAATCCACGCGACACTTGGCCAAAAGGTTCGTCTCTGTGTGTGTGAGTGAGTGTTTTTTGTGCAGCTCCTAGTATAGTGTTCAGCTGAAGACCGCTTTTTCTCTCCCTCCGCCTCTACATTCGCCCATTCTCGCTTTTGGCCTGAGCGACACCATTGCGACCGACGCCGAAAGTCGCGAGTGGTACTTTACAAAACACGAGAACCACAGCCACTGCAAACGACCCAGAATAACCGTTCGACAACGAAATCGTACTTACGACGACAGCCTCATGCTGCGTACGCTGCCGCTACTGCTCGTCGCGCTCTGGGCGTCGTTCAGCGCTGCGGTCGACGTGAGCGTCTGTCGCGATGCCACCTACGACATTGCCGTCGAGGCCTCGACGCTGTGCGCGGGCGCAGGCGCGTTCCCCGCCGGTACTCAGTGTCCGAAAACCGGTAATATCGCGATCGCCGACTGCTACTCGTACCTTCCGTCGTACGTAGACGGGACGTGCGTGGCCCCAGAGGACGCCGTGTGTCAAGTCGTGACCGGGGACACGTGGGGTTGCGTCTTGCCTTCGATTGGGTGCGACGACGCTATTTTGGGCTCCCCAGGCTGTGCGATTTGGGACTATTTTGGGAACCTTACCGAGCATAAACCGTTTGACGGGCATGCCGACATCGATTATGACGCTCGATGGTTTATACAGACGTCCCCTCTGCGCGACCTCTTGAGCTGCGGAGTAGAAGAGCCCACGCCAGCGCCGACGACGCCACGTCCGACGCCTGCTGCGACCGTTCCAGCGCGGATTGCCACGCCGGCGCCAACGAGGCCGCAGCGAAAAATACCGACACCGGCGCCAACGACGAGGTCAAAGGTACCGGTACCGACACCAGCACCGACGACGAGGACGAAGGTACCGGTTCCGACACCGACACCGGCACCGACGACGAGGACTGAGATACCGGTGCCGACACCGGCGCCGACGGAGAAACCGACAGAGGCACCAATTTGGACCGAAACCCCGACAGAGTCACCATCGTGGACGGAGCCACCGACCGAGTCTTTGGCGTGGACAGAAATACCGACTGAGTCACCGGCCTGGACGGAGCCACCGACCGAGTCACTGGCGTGGTCAGAAATACCGACTGAGTCACCGGCCTGGACGGAGCCACCGACCGAGTCACTGGCGTGGACCGATACACCGACAGAGTTACCATCGTGGACAGAGAATTCAACGGAGGTACCGTGGCCGACGGTTACGAACATGACAAACACGACTGCTCCTGGGAATGCTTCGATTGATTCTGACGATGGAGGAGTTCGAGTGGGCGACATCGACCAACGAGATCTCACTGATGAAGTTTCGTTGTCGGCCGTGTCGCTGTCTGTTGATGACGCGGAGAAGTCGACAGGATTCGGGGCTGGCACGATCATCGCAGTTGCAGTAGCAGCAGCTGCTGCTGCTGTTGCTGCAGTTGGTGCGATTTATGCTCGGAATCGGACGCAGATGTTCCCGGAAGTGAACGAGGCAGATGTAGCACGCAGAGGAAGTACAGAGTACGAGATGGTCGTGACGCCCCCTCATGCTGCGACGTCTCCTCAAGGCTTGACGTCGCCGAGAATGTGAACACCGAGAAGAGAGGAGAGAGACACAAGGGCAGAGAGAGAGGGGAGGAGGAAGTGAGAGACCGAATGAGAGGGAGAGAGAGAATTGGAAGAAGTGACGTCGAGGAAGGAGCTGAGGCGTTGAGACTGAGCTTGGACGATCATGGACACTTGATTGAGTAACGAACGCACTTGTAGAGAAGAGGAACGAATGGACGAATGGCAGGACGGACGTTTCATTAAATAGCAAGTACTTTTATATTTGACAGTCCGTCAGTGTTGTTGATCTGAAAAGAGAGTTGAGCTACTGAGTCGCGGTAAACGCAGCACCTTGGATACCTACGATACTGTTGAACTGCTTACTGAACGTGGCCTCGGCTGCTGTGTCAAGCTGTTGACGGGCAGCTCGGCGTTTCAATTTGCGCCACTGTTTAGCTTTACGTCTTGCTGCTAGCGCTGTCTGCGGGTTTAGAGCGTCCCGAGCCAACTTTGCAGCTAGCTCTTGTGTTGACAAAGCAGTGCGTGGTAGAGCAAAGTCTTGAGTCTCAACGTCGTTGTCAACCATGTCCGAGTCCGATTCCATGTCGTCCGAATCCGAGTCATTCAGCATTTGGTTGATACGAGCAGAGGCAGGTATAACTTCAGTCGCTTTAGTGCCAGATACCATCACCACGTCACTGTCAGCTGCCACGACGATCGAGCAGTGAGGACCACTCACTTCGTCATCAGCGTCGGAATTCGGAAGGAAGATGCTGGTTGGATTCAACTCTTCATCTGCAACATTAAACTCCTGGCCAAATGAAGTAACGAGTTGCGTATCCAGCACCTGAGCGCTTTGGTCCGGTGGCGGTGTATAATACGGCAGCTTGCCTCGATTCCAGTCTTGCAGGACAATACGTGCAGCAGCTTGACGATCCGGAATTCCTCCTTTGCCGAGTTTACCCTTGCTCTGTGCCACAAGCACTAAAAACTGCACGGCGTCCTCAAAGCATTTCGATACGGTGTCTAGAGGCAGCTGATACAGTTCTGCAAGCTGTGCCGGCTGGCATCGTGTCAGTAAGACCTGCACAGCACCAACTGGATCTTCCATCGACTCGGTATTAATGCAGTTCCGTAGCAGCAACGCACTGGAGTCAGTGTGGTCAAATACGATGCCAGGACAATCCAGCAGCTTGATCTTGCTGTCAATATGCACCTCCTGCATGACTTTCGTGTGGCCTGCCGTACTCGATACACTCGCAGCTTTGCTGCGTTTCAACGAATTGATCACGGAGCTCTTGCCGACATTCGGGTATCCAATCACGCCCACCGTGATGGCAGTCTTGACGCCATGACTGCGACAATAATTCTTCAGCAACTGCATCAACGCTTCAGTACCCACTGCTTTGCTCCCACTCACCGCCTCTCTTGCTGCTTTATCAGCTCTCCCAAACGTTGCACTGAGATGCTTGGTCTGATTCTGCGTTGACGCTTTGAACGCCACCGTGGGGTAAAAGCCCCGCAGATACTTGAGCCACGGCTGCAACACATGCGGGGGCACAAGGTCCACTTTATTCAGCACCAGAACGAGTTTCTTGCCATAGCGATTGCCAATCGCGTCCTCCATTTCCAGCGTCCGACAGCCCATTGGATCCCGGGCATCCAGTATTTCAAGAATCACGTCTGCTTTGTCCACCACCTTGCGGAGTTCCTTCATATAAGCTCGTCGGGACGCGTCATTTATGACGAGCTCACTTTGTCCTGAGCTCTCCTGATTCTGCAGTTGAGCTTTCTGATTTGTGTCAAATTGCTCTGAATTCAACGCCGCTCGTCCAGCCAAGTGCACGAGACTCAGATCTGATTCCACCTTGCGATGCCGATTGAGCTGTTGACTGCGGAGCTGCTCGCGCTTCTGGTGCAGCTTTTGCACGTTTTGCTGTTTGCCCACGAGCTTTTTCTTGAGCTTCGTGCTGTTCTGCTGTCCCACGTGCCCTTTGTGGCCGCGCAAGGCTTGGGCGACGACGCCCTGGCGCTTGGCACTGCGACTCACAGACGGCAGCTTTCGTCCCATGCTCTTGAGGATGTCGTGTGTTCCGGTTTTGTCACGGATGTTGTTGTAATTGACTGGAGGAGAGTTGATCGGGCTTTTGACCAATAGTTGGGATGGAGAGGACGCGCGAGGTGAAGGACTTGCTGAATGATACAAAAAAATGCTTTTTACGTGAAGTGAAAAGTGCGGCGACTTCGACTGTTTCTGCGAGCTGGAAGGGTGAAGCTAACAGTGACTGTGTGCAAGGAAAATGCTCAATCAGTAAAACCTGCTTTCTGGCTGTGGATCTGGGTGTGGTGTGCGTGAATTATATTCGGTGTACATTACGTACCGCACTAAATACGATGCAGCCCATCCTTCTTCAGGTAGGACAAAAGTATGTATTTTAGATGCCACCCTTTTTAATCAGGTCACTCATTTCGAAGGAGAAATGTGTCAGTTGCACGCACACCAATGCCCGGACGTAATTTGCTTATTAGCGACCAGGGCGGATCGATGGCAAATAAGCAAATGCTCCATAAATCTGTTTAGATATAAATCAATTCAAAATTAGACGTTTTCAAACGCTGTAAAACGCGTTTCAAAACACAAGCGAAATTCAACCAAACGTTTTTATTCGGAAAATGGGGACGGGGACTGCAACGGGGCACCAAAGCAACACTGTAACGAGGTTACGCGCGTTTATTTGAACCGGTTTTGTTGTGTGTCCACAACAAGTGAAGATCAGTGAAATTGAGAGGTACAGTCTTTGTACCATGTACTTACGGTAATACCGCATCCTATCGATCAGGGACAAGGGATTAAACTCCTATGATAGGATCACAATGTAGAAGTCAGTCAGACAAGGTTTTAGGGTTGTATTACCTTAGCTGAATAAGACAAAAGCTCAGTTCCCCTTTCGAATCGTTAAACACAAGTGCCTAGTTAAGTCATAGTGTGTTGTAAGAGTGTTGACCTTGTGAAGGCGTTTACTCTTGTTTAACTGGAAGTGACTAGTTAGTGTGTGAATATGTGAATCGTAATCCCTTTAAAACCGGGATTGTTAAGCTGCACTCTCAAATGACTGTACGTCGTTGTTAGTTTGTTTTAACTAATAGACTTTTTGAGTCCAAGACTCCCTCTGCTAACGAGCTATGTAGCTCCGATGCAAACACACTGGACAGTTAGTGTGGAGCTACTATGACCGACAGCAGCGTGAGCGTTGCCTCGATGCTTCTGTATATCGATAGAGGAAGGGATGGTAATTGATAACTAACTTGTTCATGGCAAAACTACAATAGTAGTAAATGCACTTAATTTCTAATCATTAACTTATGTTTAATTCCTCACCTTATGATATTCGTCTACAAAAAGGAATGCTAAAGTCTTGCTCACCAATCATTGCGCGCATTCATCGTTAATCGAACCGCTAGGGCTGGCTAATATGATGACCCAGATCAGTCAATCGGTAAAGTTTCTCAATTTTACCCCTTAACGTTATACCCACGAGCAAAATGAACCTTCATAATAGTATCTGATAAACGAGTATCAAGGGTTAATTACATATAACCGGCTCACCCTATTACACCATTCCTGTAACATGGCACCCTTTTGTCTGGAGGCCACGAAAATTCACGTACACTAGTACGTGCAAACGAAGCAAATCTACTTAAACAGATCGTTTGAGTAAAGGTAAAAAGAGAACTGTATTTAACATAATTAAGCTACCAATAGAACTTCGGTCTTTATCTAATTAAATTAAACTACGTCGTCGCATGACGACAGCCTGCTCACCACTCATTGCGCGCGTTAGTAGCGATTGGTGGCAAACTATGGCTGATATATCTTATATCAACCAATCTTGGAGCAGCGCATGAATATTATCAAAGGAGGGTTATATTCCTTCAACATCATCGATCTTGGGTAATACTGGTAGAATATTGTCATGCTTGACAATAATCCTATTGACACCAAACGGTGTCAATATCATGTAACGGGCTGCCCCGTAGCATCACCCCCCCCTTTTAACCATCAATCACCCGTTGATCGAATTGGAATTATTATGGACAGGGTGACCTCCGTCGGATCACTCTGGGAAAGAGCGCACTTGTTGGTCAAATCCCATTCATTTGCCAATTCAACGCAAAGTTTCGAAAACCAAGCGAGTTGCTACTGCAGCAGCAAGAAGGGTGGCTGCACGCATTCGTGCAGCCGGAGAGAGTATTCTCACACCTCAGCAGCAGGTAATTCGTCGCCTGTTGTTGTGAGCCGTCCACGAGTTAAGTCACCACGTGCAACAGGTACATCCGCTACGTCTGCATCGGGTACCGTGAATTGTAATCTAGACGGGTCTGAAATAGAGCCCATCTATTCTGGCGAGTCGGATGATGTTTCCGACTCGAAGGCGGCATCTCACGCCTTCGGATAACCCGGGGTAGACTCTGCGAGAGCTAGGTTAATTTACTCTGGTCAACGTGGCGGCATCATGTCCGATATCTTTGGATCGGGTGATTATTCTGACGAATCTCCACCTCACGCAAGTCCATCCAACGCTAGGACGCGTGGAGACGGTGGTGATGCACCTATACATCACCACGAGCAAGGAAATTCGAGGGATTGGGGTGTCACCGGTGTCAGCGCTCACGCTGGCACCAATCAAGAGGCCAGGGACCGAAATGTCCTGCGCCACGCTCCTCAAGTGGAGTCTCCGTGGATGTTGTCATCCAGAGAGTTGGACCGGTTGGCCGGCATGACTACCGAACATGATCGAATCCCGTTGTTCGATCACAGAAAGATTTGCCCACCTGATTCCAGCACGGAAACTATCCGTGCTGATGAAGCGTTCTTCACAGATGCGTTTTGAAAACATTGGTGATACTAAGGTGGCCGTGTTCGAGACGGCAAAGCCTTGGTACAAGGATGGAATGCCCTCATCCATGACATCGAGTGCATTGGCCGTGAGGCCTGGCTCGGTAAACTTGATGCAGCTCGCATCAGGTTTGAGAAGCGTAACCCAGTCGGGGTGCGATAAAGGTTGCACCGGCTGTCAAGAGAGGCCGCATTACCCTGTCTCTCGTGGGGTGATTCGTGTCCAGGTTGCCTAGACAACTCGAACCGTGCCCCTAGGGAGGCCTTCCTCCCTAATGATCCCTACTGGAGGGCGCGCATGTCTTCCGAGACGGCCGAAGGGATTGACACCTTGCAATCCCTGGACTCGCTTCCAGGGAGTTCATTTCCAACGGCCCTTCTTCGAACGCAGCGGATGGGTCTCGTCGTACTGCTCAACGAGACCCATAACATCAACACTCAGCTGATCACGTGGCTCCCAGCTGCCAGCCCGGTGGATAGCCACACCAGCGGACGAGGTAACTCGTCCGGACGCCATTCACATTGCGGTAATTCAAGAAATGCTCCACCAGAAAGCGTTGACCACCGCCAAGATCCACCAAAGGATGTGGTGGCGGCGGGAACACCTGATCTGGCTCGAGGGTCGGATCAGCGTGATGTTCAAGTGATGAACCATGTAACGGAACAGTTGCAAGATGAACTGGCTCACGAACGGACTCGGCGTTATAAGCTTGAGAATCATGTAAGGCAAAATACAATTCCTTAACGCACTATAATTCGGATAATCGTGCGGCTTTTGCGCTTGCGCAACTTGAGAACGAACGTTCGACTCGTTCTCTTCGTGACGAGCTGGCTGCAGCTCGTCGAGACATCGCTCAACTGCGTGAACAGTTCGCTTCGCTAGTTGACCAGACTGGTTCGTTAAAACGGGACCAGTCGAAGGTGGTCTAGGCCCTTGAACGCGGAAGTGTTTTCCGCCTCTAGAAACGGGCTTGTTCTGACAGTTTGGGCGGAGACGTCCAACGTAAAATGTTGGATGCGTACGCATCTTACGGAAAAGTTCAATCGTGTATGCGCTGCCCGTTCGGTGCAACACACGAAATGGACCGATGCACTTGGGCAGTAATTTACCGTTGCCCACGTTTTTTACTGCGCGTTTCGGTAGGTTTACTGTAGACAGTAAAACTAGGTCTCCTTCATCAAATGAAAGAACATTTTCTCTTCCTTGTTTGTCTGCGTTTCTCTTCTTTCTGTCTAGTGCATCTGCAATTGAGTCTTGAACGAAGCGGACAACCGCTTCGCGAGTCAGCAGAAATTCCTCTGCTGTTTCATCCTTGTCGACAGCAGTGCGCTACGTGTGTACTGCTTAAAGAAAGTTGTCTTCACCAGTGAGGGTGTCATCGTCCTCACTTTGGCAGTCATTGGCGATGCTGAATATACCAGCATCTTAATCATCATCATCGATATCGATTGCATCGAAATCGGCATCCATCACGTCGACACCATTGTCGACGGGTGATGAGCAAGAACCAGATCGGTTTGTGTTCGAGCATGTCCAACTCCCCCCTTGAATTAGAGTCACAATCTAAAAAGGCAGGTAAACGTGGACGGTGGAGGCCATTCGCGAAGAACGGTGTACGCGTTGTTGACGCATGCACCGAATTGTTGATGGCGAATTCCTCTATCGGCAAGAACTCACTCCAACTCGTAAACGAGTGGACGTATCCTCGAAGTATCTCTTCGAGGACGCGGTTGACGCATTCCGTCTGACCATCTGTTTCTGGATGTTCAGAAGTTGACATCGTCAAACGTGTTCCAAGTGAACGGAACACGGATTGCCAGAACTCCGCTGTGGAGCGGGGGTCCCTATCAGACACGAGTTCACGGGTCATCCCGTGAAGTCGAAAGATTGTATCGATGTAGACGCGAGCACAGCCCTGGGTTGTGATTGACTCCGGTACAGTAACAAGGTGTACCATCTTGCTGATCCGATCAACAAACACAAGAACACCAGCATTCTTGTGAACGTATTTAAAAACCAAAGACGAAGTTCATCGATACGGACTGCCAACACTCTGCCGGAATTGTTAGAGGCTGCAAGGGTGCGCGGGATGAAGGAACAGGCTTCACCCGTTGACAAACTTCGCAAGCGCGAATGTATTTGCGCACGAACTCATACTGGCGGGGCCAGTAGA